GTTGACATCATCTTCAGGACTCAGCCAATCCTGAGGGTGCTGCTGCCTTGGGAACCCAACCCCTTTTCTCCTGGGTCTTTGTCACCTCACAGAGCCCCACCCCTCTGCTGGCAGATAAAAGGGGCTTGTTGGGCAGGGCAGGAGACCAGAAGGGAGGCCAGTGGCCAGAGGGCAGTCCGGCAGAGACCCAGCCCTTCTGCCCAAGGCAAGTTCTCTCCTGAAAGTAGAGGAACTTGCTAAGTGGGCTTGCGAGTTAACAGCTTGAGGCTGGTGGAGATCCATGGCTTGAAGCTGGCTGATGTTGGCAATGGACCGGGGGGAAGTCAGATGTTAGCAGACAGAAGCTGGTGGAATCTGCCTGCAGAAGCTGGCTGAGGCCCCAAGGTGGAGGCCGGCAGAGGTTGGCGGATGAAGCCGGTGGTGGACGTTAGCCTCCTGAAACCAGCTTGGGGAAGCTCGGTGGATATCGGTGGATGGAAGCCCGGACATTTGGGTGAATGGCTGGTGGAGTGAAGGTGTGTGTGTATCAAGGGGGGAGGGAAGCTGGTTTGTGCCTGTGTGTGTATGAATGTGTGTGTGAATGGGCTGGCTGGTGTTCCGTGGGGATGTCGCCGGGGCGTGACTGTGACCCAAGCATTTAGGAGCTGATGGAGGCTGGCTTCAGAAGCGGAGTGGAAGAGAGGAAAGGTGGATATTCTTGGTGGAAGCCAGTGGATGCTGGCAGGTTGAACTTCGGGATGAAGTTGCCAGAAGATTGGTGGGTGGGATAAGCCTGGGTTGACGCCAGTTGACGGCCGTGGACGAGCTCACCCCTTAGTTATTTCTCGCTCTCTTTCTCTTGCAGGGCCCGAAGCTTCCTCTTCCCCCGGGGGATGCGAGGGAGCAGAAGGCAGGCGTCCTGCTGGAGCTGAACCAGGCCTTTGTTTCCGCTGAGGATACCCGTTTAGCCTCTTTTCCAAAAGCAATAAAAGAATGTTTCTGGAATGGTTTTGAAGTGTTGTCTTGTTTGTCAGGGGCTGTCACGGGATGATCTTCCCCCGTCCCCTCATTATATCTGGGGCCCAATGCCTGGGGTGGGTCTTTGTGAAGTCATGGTCTGGGGCCCTGTGATGTCACAGAAATTGGGAACATAATATTTCTGCATGGGTGAGGGAGGGAGGTAGGCATTGTGGGTTCTCTGGCTGAGCTCCTAAGCAAGGATATTATGTGCCGTGTTGGACAGACACAGGAAGCCAGTAAGCCCTGGTGCCATTCAGAGAGGGATGGAGTTGGGTACCCAAACACTATGGCCACCCTGTAACAATAAACGGGACTCGCTCCTTCCCTTCTGCCATGGCTCCTCACATTTGTTTGCCTGGCCTGGAGATTCAGGGGAGCCCAGCCATTTCCTGGCATAGCAGCTCATTCTCTGAGAACTGGCAAGCCTCATCATCATCAACACCATGAGCACTCCATGGACAGCTCCTTGCAAAGTACAAGTGGGGAGAAAATTTGCCACTTCAAAGAAGCTTACTGCCCAACCTCTCACGAAATTGCCACAACTGAGGAAATGGAGATGGGCAATGATTTGGAGATGAGCATATGTTAAAATTCATGAGGATCTATTCCATGGATAGATAGCAAAAACACACTGGTACTGCAAAATCTGCTGCTTGAGGGCAGCGGCTGCCTCTAGTGCAGTCATAGTGAAACTTTTTGAGCCCAAGTGCCCAAACTGCAACACAAAATCAACTTATTTATTTCAGAGTGCCACTACTGCAATTAAAACCCAAATGCTGAGGTTTTAGTTTAGAAAAAAATGAGGGTTAAATGCTTGTTTGTTTGTTTTTTTGCTATAAGTGGTATTAACAAATAAATACTTACTGGTCCTCCAATCCGCCATTGGGCTAGACCAGTAATGGTCGCCATTGCACCCCTCCGCTGGACCACTGCACCAGCAGAGGGGAGAGCTGAAACCCGGGATCGGAGGACGGGTAAGTATTTATGGTGACTTATGGCTCGTGGGCCCACAGAGAGTGCTTTGTGTGCCAGCTGTGGCACGCGTGCCATAGGTTCGCCATCACTGCTATAGGCAGACTATACTGCAGATGCAGGCCTGCCTTTGGAAAGTGCTCAGAAACTTCAGCAGGTCCAAAAGACTGCAGCCAGGTGGGTAAAGAGATCATATAACCCCTCCCCCCCATTACAACAGCTCCACTGACCGCCAATCCATTTCTGGGAACAATCCAAAGTGCTGGTTTTAACCTATAAAGCACTAAACAGCTTCGGTTCAAGCTATCTCAAAGACCATATTTCCCTCTATGAGCCTGCCATGCTGTTAAGATCATCAGGGGAGCCCTTTCTCTTAGTCCCATCACCCTCACAGGTGCACTTGATGAGGACATGGGAGGGGGCTTTCTCTGGAACTGCTCCCAGACTCTGGAATTCCCCCCTACCCAAAGCCAGGCCGACCCCATCTTTGCTGTCCTTCCATAAGCAGGCAAAGATCTTTCTCTTCAAGCAGGCTTTTCCTTAGTGACTGACTGTCTAGGAGACAATAAATGGGATGGTTTATATTTCATTTTTTTCTAAATCTGTTATTTGTAAGTCTTTTATCTAAAATTTTGAACATAATATTATTTAAGTCTTCTTTAATATTTGAATAATTTACTGTTTTCAGCTTTTAATATTGTGTTTTAATGATGTCAACCAATTTAGGTTCTTTTTTAAAGAGAAAGGTGTGGTAATAATATTTTAAAGCTGTCAAGCAAAGAAAGATGGTGGTCCCAGGATGTAAAAATGGATATCAATACCTTATTCAAAATAAGCCCAATGTGTTTCAGCTATTGCACTTTTAGTCTTCTTCAGGGGCTATAGTATAATAAATAAAACAGAAAGAGTACATATATGAGCTACTCATTTGATTGGGACAACATATAAGACATTTTTTTAAAAAAACGTGCTAGCATTAATACATTAATATAATTGTCATAGTTTAGATTAAGCATTAAAAGTGATTTACAGGAAGAGTAACAATTATTTATAAGTAAACATAAGAAGTCAGGTTACATACTGCTGATGTTATGCTTATGTAGAATCTGTCTCTAAGGATATTTTTATGGACAATCTGTCACTCCTTTTCAGATAAATAGTGCCGTGGTGACAGAAGAAGAATGGTTTTATAAAGAAAAGACGGCACAACTGTGTACAAGGTTAAACTAGTGCGTTAGCTTTTCTTGGCTAATTACCTTTCGAAAAAGTATCTGAGGGAAATAATACGGAGCTACAGTAAGGGAATATAGTTTAATACTTAATGTAAACTATGACTGTGATTGGGTTCT